CTGTTGTTGATCTAATCTGACACAGTGACCATCCCTCATTCATCCTCACTTTCCCTTCTCGTGCATTTCTGTGGCTCTTTGCTTGCCTTTGTGTTTACTGTTATTTTGTTGTTTCTCTGTCTTCTTCTTTCCTCTCTTTAGAGTGTTTGCACACCTCTAATAATTAAATAATTTACATCAAAATTTTAAAAAAAGTAAAATTTGAACAAATCCTTAGTGACTGCAAACTTTTATTAAAATAATAGCATCAGAATTTTTAAAAAGCCAGATACCAGCAACTCCATCGATGAAATGCTGCTTTGACCATAATTTTATCTTGCCATTTTCCCCAATTAATAACAAAAACATCTTTGTTTAGTAGTGCCATTGTGGCCCTTTGTTCATCATTTTTATGAGCAGAATTTACAGGTGTAGACAAGTGGTGAAACCTCAGAATCTCATCTCTGCTTTGTGTAGATATGTGTTACTGTTGGCTTCATCAGGTGGTGGCCTCCGGCTGATAAGCTGGAGGAGGTGTCTGGGGAGAAGGAGGCCTGGGTTTCTCTGCTGAGGCTGCTGACCCCACATGTCGGCCTCAGATAACTAGAGGAAAATGGATGGATTTATCAGCTTTAGCACCTACAGCTTTAGTGCTCCTCCACAGTTATCCTTCTTCTTCATAAACAGTATGATGTGAATCAAAAAATTAAAAATGGTACTGACACTATGTTGGAAAAGGGTGGGGGAACAGAGGGACCGGAGGCGTGTCTCAATGATTACATTGGACCTATGACACAAGGGGGTGGAGCAGTTGTGATTAAGCCATTAGTTGCATGAGCACACCCCCATACTTCTTGTGCTACTTTTGGTATTAAAACACCACAAAATTAGTTATTAATATAAGACATTTAGAGGGCTGTATGTGGTTTTGAAAACAACAGCATTCAGTCCCAGATGTAATGGCTTCATCCTTATTCATGCTTCATGCTGAAAAAATCACATGAAAAAGAAGGAAGTGTGACAGTTTTACTTTTCGGTCTTGTGCTTCCCAACAGGGACATGATTTTTAAAGACAACATCTTTTTCTATGGTAAGTAGAAGTTACTATTTTATATATTTATTTTTATTGTGTTTTTGCAAACTGGAAAATACAATATTTAAAGTCTTTGCTGATACAATTTTCTGTCACACAGACAGAAGAGAGGAGCAGCCATGAGTGCAACTGCAGCAGCAATGATTGAATTTGTATTTGTACTGCTTCTCACTGCATCGGGTACTGAATAACTATCTTTTACAATGAAGGAAACTAAAAGAGTGACATTTGTTTTCAAGTTATAATGTGATATTAAAAGTTATAGTGTGTTTATCACGACATTTCCACAGATTATTAAAATGTTCCCAACATCAGCATCTCAGGATGTTTTTATGTCGACATGTCTCTGTTGTGTATGACTGCATAAAAACTGCATTGCTGTTTGAAATAACTCTAAGTGGGTCTGATAGTAGTATATCTGAAGTATTTAGTTACGGCGTCTCTATACTAAAACAAAACAGGAACCAAACATCTTCACTTCAATTTCTTCAATTTCTATTCTCCTTTTGGTTTCTAGTAAAGCAGCTCTCAGAGATCTGCAAACGCAGCAGCACTTCTGTTCTGCATTTTATAAAGTTTACTATCAAACTTATCATCAGTCTCATTGCACAGTAAACTGTTTGAAACACGAGCATTTTAACACGCTAACAATAATTAAGATGCACATTAAATCTGAATTTAGGTTAAAATTACAGATGCCTTTCTTAGTCAACACTTATTTTGTTAGAATAGAACAGAATACAATGGAATAGTCCTTTATTGTCATGGCAACTGTGCATGAATAAAATATAAATAGTAAGACAGCAGGGAGAAATAACAAACAATTATAAATGTATACAAAATTACAGAAAAGCACACAGTTTTGTGTACATCAATATAAAACTTAATCATTAAAGTGTTGAACATAAATAATAACGTGGCAGTCAAAGTGCATAATAAAATATTAAATTTCATATAGAGAAAGCTTTGTCTCAATGACTTGCATTTCATTTTAAAGACACTTCATGCAAATGTTTTCATTATTAATGTCACTGTGATTGTGTCTGTAGTGTCTGATGTGCTCTGTGTTACAGCAGTACTGGGTCAGACTGGTTGGTCAGTGACTTACACTTCCACTCACATCTGCGCCTTGAAAAAATCAACAGTGGACATAGGCTGCAGCTACAGTTACCCTTCTACAAGACACAATATGAATACTGCAGTTCAAAAAAGACTTTGGTTTAAAAACAAGGATGAACCGTTGGATCTGAAAACATACGCGCCGTACTCGCGCCGAGCGGAGTACCGCTTTCATGAGAACGACTGCACTCTGAGGATCACAGATCTGAGAGAGAGAGACTCAGCTGAGTACAAGTTCAGATTCGTAACAAATCAGCCTGATGGAAGTTATACTGGCTCACCTGGAGTCACTTTGACTGTCACGGGTAAGATTTTCATTGAAAATCCTACTGTTTTGTTTGGTGGTTTAGTTTAAAATGAGGATTATTTGTTTCTTCCTCACAAATCCAGACTTGCAGGTGAAGGTGAGAAGATTGGTAAGCCACACAGAGCTGCAGTGTCACAGCAGCTGTGATGTAATTGATCCTCCGTCATATGTTTGGTACAAAAATGGACAGAAAATAGAGGAAGAAACATCTCTGCGAGTCTCTGTTGGAGGTGATGACAGCAGCTATTCCTGTGCTGTTAAAGGACATGAGGGTTATCGCTCTGTTGCAGTGTGTGAGTTTACTCCACAGTGTCACTATAAAAATCCTAAAATCATACAAAACATTTCAAGATTTTAAAAAAAAAAACACCTTATGTTTAAAGCTCTCTTTTTAAACTTCCTCTTATCCTCCAGTTTCTCCAAAGCTCTACTATATGTTAGTGAATCCTTCTGCTGAAGCAGAGGAAGGAACTTCAGTGTCTCTAAACTGTGGCTTTAATGCTAACCCAGCAGCTAATTACAGCTGGTACAAGGGAAACATCCAAACACGTATCAGTGAAGGAACGGCCCTCGACTTTCCGTCTATCCAGCCCTCTGACTCTGGAGAATATTACTGCACAGCTGAGAACGAGCTGGGGAGGAGTGCGTCTCAGTCCATCTTTATTAACGTGAAATGTGAGTAAATCAACTTTAATACCAGTTTGCTTGAACCCATTTACTTTATTCCATCTCTCCTGAGTTGTTTTTCTATCATCAAATATTAAACATTCAATTCATTGAAAGTGGATTGCTGTGTAAACCTACTGTACTACCCATTAATATTTCATCTGAATGATTCAGTTACTGAAAGGTTTCTGGTCAAATGTCTCTATGGTTTATGAAAGCAACAAAACATTTACCATAAGAATTAAAAAAAGGAACCAGCTCATTTTGCTTTTTGCTCACATCGGTTTTCTTGTTTCTGTTTCCGGCATGATCTGTCATTAGTGATCTAAGCAAAACACATAGAGGCAGCAACGTTTTCACTGCCAAACTGAGCATACACAAAACAAACTACAGAGCTTTTAGTCATAGTTATGCAACATACTGCATACAATGCAACACAAATGTATCTTTGTGTGTTATAAGATTTCCCTTTAATTGCCATCATATTTGAAATCTCCAGTGGGATATAAAGAATATATCTGCATCAGAAAAATCACATTTGTTGACCTGAAAGTTTTTGCATGAGGAACAGATTTAGATTCAAACACTGTGAAGTTGATTCATCCGGATATCTTCTCCTTCAGATGCTCCAAAACTTGTTAATGTGTCAGTGACTCCCTCTGGTGAGATAGTGGAGGGCAATTCAGTAACTCTGACTTGTAGCAGTGATGCTAACCCAGCAGCTAAATACACCTGGTATAAGGGGAATAACAATAAACCTCTAAGTGTAGACACACAGCTTGTCTTCACCTCAATCCAGCGATCAGAGTCTGGACAGTATCGCTGCAGAGCTTACAACAGAGTGGGGGCGACATCTGACACCATCTCTATTCATGTGAAATGTGAGTGAAACTAATTTATACATCAGATGGTCCTGAAATCTCTCTCACTGAGAGCATTACTTCCTCATTATTTCCCTGAAATACTAACGAATTGAATCATTTTCTTTCTCTCAGATCCCCCAAAGTTTGTCTCAGTATCAGTGAGTCCTTCTAATGAAATCAGTGAGGGGAGCTCAGTAACTCTCACTTGTAGCAGTGATGCTAAACCAACAGCTAACCACTTCTGGTACAAGGATGATGATCAGACACCTCTCAGTAATGAACGACAGCTCTCCATCACCTCCATCCAGTCCTTTGACTCTGGAGAGTATGTCTGTGCAGCTGAGAACTACCTGGGAAGGATGACGTCTGAATTCATCTTTATTGTTGTGATATGTAAGTTCTTCCTTCACCTTTATGCTTAACCATCCAAATCTCCTCACTGAGCAGCTTGTAGAACAGTCGATTTAGTGAATAACTCAGTCTTTGCAGGAACTAATACTAACCTCTCTTTTTTCTCCCTCAGATGCTCCAAAGTCTCTCTCTGTGTCGTTCAGTCCCTCTGGTGAAATCCAGGAGGGCAATTCAGTGAATCTGACTTGTAGCAGTGATGCTAACCCCGCAGCTAACTACACCTGGTACAAGGAGAATAGCCAAACACCTCTCGTTGTAGAACCACAGCTCTCCTTTATCTCCATACAGCCCACTGATTCTGGAGAATATTACTGCCAAGCTGTAAACAAAGTGAATACTTCCACGCCTAAATACATCTCTATCCATGTGGCATGTAAGTCAGACAGTGTTTAAAAGCAACATTCAGCTAGTTATTGTCAATATTTTATCTCATTATGAATTTGCCAATATTATCTCAAACTGCTTTATAATTACAGTCAGCTGCTGTAGGTCAGCAGCTGACCTAAATAAAGTAAATTTATTTTAATATAACATTTTAATATCATTATCATCACTGACTTCAATTTATGATCATACATTTGTCTGGGATGATTCTGTGTTGTGGTGAGGTAGCAGTTCAGCGACTAAGATAGTTTATGTTCTGTTAGACACTGCAGGGAGGTTCTGGGTTCACACTTTTGCCCAGCTTGGACCTTCCTGCAGAGTTTACATGTTTTCCCAGAGTACAATGACACACTTGTTGCGTTAACAGGCAATTCTAAATTGAAGGTATGGGTGCATGCGAGGGCTGTACAGCTGTACTGATGATGATGTTCTCTTACCCAGTTTGAATTGGGACCATCTCCAGTGGTTAGATAAGCGCTTAAGAATGGCAGATGATAGATGACATTACCCAATCAATGATTTGCTTGATAGCTGTGTGCAAGTCTCTGTTACGACCCCCTCTGCTAGGCGTCAGGGAAGGAGTAACATACACAAGCCCCCAACACAAAACTGAGTAAAGAAAAAAGGTTTTAATTTCAAACTTTGAACAGAAAACCGACAGGGCTGTTCAACAGACCACTGGGCAAACAATTATTACATAAAGAAAAAAACAGTCAAGAGTAAAAGCTAAAGGTTAACTAAGGCAAGCTGGCCACACACAAAATAAAAGCTAAGGGTTAACTGAGGCTAGCCAGCATCACAAAATTCTACTCACAGCCAGCTAGCAGCTCAAAACTCTAATCAGTCTAAGTTCAAGCATGCACCAAGGCTTGACAAAGTTCAGCAATATGAACAATTTCAACAAAGATCGAAGAGGGAGGCACGAAGGGCAAACTGCATGTTCAGTCCTAAGCAGCAGCCACTGAGTGAAGGACCTCCAGCCTTTTGTAGCCACAGGTGGGCACGATCAGCCACTGATTGCCTCTTGGAGCATCACGGGATCCCCGGGCAGCCAATCGTCCGTGTGGTCTGGCACACTTCATTCTGCATAAGAGAGGGTTGGCACGGGTCTCCCAGTAACCAATCACCCACAAGTCATGGCACACATGGATTTGCATGAACACAAAAAGGCAGTCTCACTCCCTCCAAGGCCCAGGGCCGTAACAGTCTCATACAGAGATTTGTATTATTGTATTATATCAAGGCAGCCCCCATTCATTTTTTTCATAGACACAAGCCACAACCTTAAATATTAAGCAACTTTGAGCTAAATGATCATATTAACTCTCTGTTTACACATAAAACAGCTTGAAAACACTAGTGTAACCATTAGGCTCACAGAGTTGTTTGATTTTATCAATAATCAATAATAAACCTTTGCAGGAACTAATGACATGCATATAATCTATATTATTTCTCTACCAGATGCTCCAAGGCCTCTCTCTATGTCAGTGAGTCCCTCTGCTGAGATAGTGGAGGGCAGTTCAGTGAATTTGACCTGCAGCAGTGATGCTAACCCTGCAGCTAATTACACCTGGTATAAGACGAACAATCAAACCCCTCTCATTAAAGAACCACAGCTCATCTTCAGCTCCATCCAGTCCTCTGACTCTGGGGAATATTACTGTACAGCTGAGAACAAGCTGGGGGTCTCATCACCAACATACAACATCTCTATTAATGTGACATGTGAGTGAAACAAGGTTATTTCTGTGAAGGTTCTCAGTCATCCAGGTCATCGTAGTCTAAGGAGCTTGGAAAGAAAAGCATCTGGACTTCTTTAAGTTGCTTGAAGACGTTTCACGTCTCATCCAAGAAGCTTCTTCAATTCTAAGGTCAAAATGTTGGAGAGTCCCAGATTTAGAAAACAGGGTAGAAAACTTTCACTTGGTGCTTTAAATTATGTTAACATTTGCTTTACTTGGTCTTCCATCAGCTTTGTTGCTTACTCCACTACATGATCAAAAGGGAGTTTCACTCTGTGTGAGCAACATATCACGGGAGTAAGCAATAAAATGATGTCAAATTACTGAATTCATTTTAAAAGTGATTCTATTTTAATGTAATTTGAGTTATTTTATAATATGAAAAAGTCAGATGAATTGGTGATTTACACACTCATAAATCAAGACAGGTAGACAAACAGGTAGCAAAATACAACCTCCAGGGAAGAAATTCTTAATGAAATAAAGCTTTTGTGACCACTGAGTGCAAAGGACAGAGTGTAACACTTTCTCGTAATTTTAATATTTTAATATTCATATTTTAAAATAATATATTTTAATATATGAGT